TGTAAATACTTAAATTTGTTTATGTTGAAACAAATAAATTTTGGGTTGAGGTTGAAGTGTTCCCAATGGTCAACCCCAGGCCCATATATAGTCTCAGGTTATTTATATAACCAGTCGAATCGTAGATACTGTCCAAGGGGATTATCACCCCTTGGTTTAGGTCTATGTCAGAAGGGGTCGCTACTAGTCTGGCAGAGCCCTATCGGGGATTATCACCCCTAAGGCATTCAGTCTCTCCTAGCAGGTCTTATATTTATACCCCCGCGGGATGAAAACATAACGCTTAACAAGTCTTTGGGCTGACCAGAGTTTGAGAGTATAATGTATATAATTGGTACATGCACTTCACTCTGAACCCATTCTCCCACAATGATTTGGTGTGTGTTTTACTTATTTTCGAGCTGTTCTTTCACCTAACGTGCTTGAATCATCAATAACGAATAAATTAATCAGAACTGCAGAAATGAATTGTTATCTAAACATTTCACCATATTAAACAGTACGTGTTATTAAAAGTTTGAACAGTTTAGTCAAATATTTATAACTCGCCTAGATATTAGGCTTCCTATACGATTCAAGAGCTCTCACTTAAGAAAGGCAAGATGCACCCTATAAACGTTTTGACAATAGACAAAAATGTGATAAGCTTTTTACAAATTTCATGATCACTCCATTTCATGTGTTAAATTTCACTAAAATTAAACTACATAAAAATATAAAACAACAGTGTCAATGATTCTTGAATGAAAACATGAAATTCATTGCTTTTATTCAAAACGCATTTGTTTTAGCTTAAAATTAAAAGAAGAAACAAAACTTGAATGACTTGTAGATCAGTGGCTGAATGTTACACACCAATGTGCTTCAAGGATAAATGAGACGTAGGGAAATTGACATGCCTGGTATTAGAGAAGCTCTCATTTGCCTTTTGATTTTCTGCGACCCGCTTTATGAAAGGTAGACATGACACCATCTTGAATATTTGTGAAATGCTTTGCTTAATATACACATCTCAGTAATTTTCTTGAAGTGGATTTGTAAAACACTTTTCTGGCTGATTACTTTTATATCATCTACTGTCATTGTTAAATCATGCCTAATTTAAGATGTCTGTGTTGAATATCATAGATTTGGCATATAATCTTACAAAACTTGTGTGCAATCAATACTCCCCCCTGTTCGTACCATTTTTCCAATGAAAGAATAAGGTTCGAAATATTCGAAATAATTATGGTGTTTTTCTTTAATATACCTTCTTTGCAGCGGAAAGTCTGTTATAAATGGCAGATACATTGCTGTTAAATAAACATAAAATTGTGTGACTTTTTCTAGTATGATCGACGATTATAATTATGAATAATTATAATGTAACATTTGTAAGACGCGAGCGTTGATTGGTCGGAAGCGTGTTTCGCTATTACATAAATAATGTAAGAATGATTCGATAATTTAACCCTTGTACTTGCGAGAGAGTTTGAATAAACCATTATTATTTTTATTATTATTATAACTATGTGGAAACACGAGAGATTTTCTGTCTCGCAGCATTGATTTTTTACAACGAACTGCAGATTAATTTTCTAATAATAAATGAGATAGTTGCCATACTTTCCAAGTGACTGTTGTGAGCTGTTGATAACTAATTAACTGAAGGTTATCGACTTGTATACAAAAAATGCTTTTTTGCATTTTCCGTTTTGCAATTTGTTTGCTCTTTGTCTCGTGTAACATTTTAAGATGTTTCTCTATTCAAAGGATTCGAATCATTAATAAAAATTTAGTCTGTGTTTCTATCCATTTAGTGAAAAGAAGTTTGTGAGAAATAAGGAATTGATCAGTGTTTCTATTACAGAAAATAAAAACATACGACATTGTTAACTCATTAAATATTCGTCATTTAGAAAAATAATAGAAAACATTTTGCATGTTTCTATGCAGCAATTGAAACACAAGTATGAGTTTGGAAGAACAAGAAATAGTACCCAAGTGTTTCTATAACTATGCATGTAGAAACACAGGGAAATGAAGTTTTTATTCCTTTTATAATGTATAACTGAAGTAAAGATTTGGTATCCACTTTTATATTCTGATTCGATTAATTTCCAATTATCTCAGCAAAAGATTCATGCGATCGGTTTCCCGGCATTCGCCCATAAAATAGCCAAGTTCTCGTCTATATAACTGACGATTCCCTTTTTGTCTTCTGGATCCTTAATTTTGTTGTCAAAATTAGTATTGTCACCTTTTTTTCCGATTACAGCGCGCGTTAAAACTGTTTTGTTTGCGTTTAAAATAGAGGAGAACTTGGCTATTTTATGGGCGAATGCCGGGAAACCGATCGCATGAATCTTTTGCTGAGATAATTGGAAATTAATCGAATCAGAATATAAAAGTGGATACCAAATCTTTACTTCAGTTATACATTATAAAAGGAATAAAAACTTCATTTCCCTGTGTTTCTACACGCATAGTTATAGAAACACTTGGGTACTATTTCTTGTTCTTCCAAACTCATACTTATGTTTCAATTGCTGCATAGAAACATGCAAAATGTTTTCTATTATTTTTCTAAATGACGAATATTTAATGAGTTAACAATGTCGTATGTTTTTATTTTCTGTAATAGAAACACTGATCAATTCCTTATTTCTCACAAACTTCTTTTCACTAAATGGATAGAAACACAGACTAAATTTTTATTAATGAGTCGAATCCTTTGAATAGAGAAACATCTTAAAATGTTACACGAGACAAAGAGCAAACAAATTGCAAAACGGAAAATGCAAAAAAGCATTTTTTGTATACAAGTCGATAACCTTCAGTTAATTAATTATCAACAGCTCACAACAGTCACTTGGAAAGTATGGCAACTATCTCATTTATTATTAGAAAATTAATCTGCAGTTCGTTGTAACTGAAATGTTTCAAATGCGGAATTGCAGTTACCACATATCAGCACATTGTTATTGCATACAATGGCATAGCAGGCCAAAGACCGCCTGATGCCGTCTGTTAATTAAAAACATTCCCAATAAACAATACTGTTTTTCTTTGCATATTCGCAAGAATTAATTCATATGAGCATTAGATATTGAAACTGAAAGAGAGCAGAACTGGCACACTATAATAGAATAACGTGAATTAATACGCGTGTGTTTTTTTTGCAGTAACATCACGGCTTGCATGCAGAAATTATATCGATCTTATTTTAATTGCTTCTTCTTGAGCTTTCGAGCAAGAGTTAATTTGTGTGCTTCTATAGCAAATACACGTCTTTTAATTTTAAGGAGTTGTGTAAACCAAAAAGTGTTATTCTGTCACCAAAAATGATTGCAGAATACATCCTTTCGAGTTAATTCAATTACTCTTTGAAATTTACAGTGTAATAACTGCAAAAGAGAACAATTTTGATATTATTAATTCAATGCTTCAGATGCTTTTAAGTTATGAAATTTTATTTCAAATAGCAGTGGTTCAAAATTCGGAAAATTCTGTTAAAACGTGATACATTGGTGATTCCAACACCAGATATTCTGATGTTTTCATTTACCAATAGGCCTTCCATCGAGTATATTGAGTGTGTATAACTTTGGGTGATACACTAATTCTTATTTAAGCAAGACCTGCCAGTAGCCTAATAAGTATCCATGCAGTTAAGATACAAGGAAAATAGTGCGCATAATTTTAGGAGGCTATGAAAACGCTACTATTACATTAAGAAAGTGAAACATACCTGAGCGTTAATTTTAAAATTTAGTTCTTTTGTTGACCGTTTTCCACGATGCGTGTGGACTTCCAAGTCGTAGTTATAACTGCATTGCAATCCAGGAAACAACTCTAGCTGGCCGATTCCATTTGTCACAGGAAAGAAGTAGAATAGATATAAAAAAATCGCCAATAGTTGAAGTTGCATTCTTGAGAAACGCGCAACAAAGTTCCAACTGGGAAGCAATACTGAATTACTTTCACATTATAGAACTCAATAAATGTTTCCTTGATATATATCAAGGTAATGCACGTGAAGTCTAAAATAGATATCTGGACTGTAAATTACATTTCAATTATGTGCTTGTAATGCAGCATATACCGTTTGTAATATGTGACCTTATAGCAAATATCTTGTAATAGATTATTTGTCGCGACTCAGCAAATATCGTAATCGCGGGGAGCGGACACCTGTTGCGAAGACTTTTAATTGCTAAAGCGATTATTGCCAGTTTTGAGTATTGGAATTCGGTCGTATAAACAGATCAGATGAAATAAGCATAAAAATTATACATTGTCAAAAGCAAGGTAAGGAAAACTATTGATAATACAAATTAAAAATATTAAGTTATAATTTCATTTTGAACCTGGTCTATGTAAACCCCATTTGTTTATGTTTCTTCTCAGAACACAATCTGGAATTCAAATTTTAATATATAATTTCTCCTAAATTATAATTGCCCAGTCGCATGTTGCAACACTATTAGATGCATGCATGCAGGATATCTTCCCGCTACTCAATATAACAATATATACATGGGCATATTTATGCATTTCCCTGCATTACAGTAAATGGAGAGCGTGTTAAACTAGTATATAAATCGAAGATGGCGTTACTGCATTCATCTGTTAAATCATTCGTATCAGTTTTTTTAATTAAATGTATTTAGTTTTATGTTAAAAGATTAAGTGTCGTTGATTCTAAAAACATTTGACAACTAGTGTGCCTAATGGATATCCAGAGCATATAATTACATAAATTGGAGTGCAATAATGAGTCGACTCAACAAATTACACTAGACATCTTTATTACTATATGTATAGTTTCGTAGCTATAAAGCATCACATAAATTAAGCTGATTAGATTTAGGCCAATTTACCTGCTCTATCTTTAGTCTAATTTACCTCATTAGTACCAAATCTTGTGGAACGAAACTAAATAGGCCAGGGCCTTTTTTAAGGATTTTCCCGTGGGGGGGCATTTTTTAAAAAGGGACCTTTCTGTGACATAATATATTAGAGGGGGATAGCAATGGCTGAAGGCCACGTGTGTGGCGAACATACCACGCATGAATGGGGAGGTCTGAGGGAGTACTCCCCCAGAAAATTTTTGAAATTTGAATCCCGGAAATGTCATTTCCTGCATTCTGAGCATCCAAATTTGTTCCAAAATTTATACTAACTATACTTGTATTTGAAATAAATAAAGGAAAAAACGCACAAAAAGTTAAAAAATAACCATCATTTATCATTATTTATTAGAGGAGGATAGCAATGGTCAGCTGTGTGGGGGTATACTCCCCCAGAAAATTTTTGAAATTTGAAGCACGGAAATGCCATTTCCTGCATTCTGAGCATCCAAATTTGCTCTAAAATTAATGCTAACTATACTTGTATTTGAAATAAAAGATGGAAAAAATGCACAAAAAGTAAAAAAAGAATATTAACTGTAATTTATCATTACTTATTAGAGGGATAATCCCCAGAAAATTTTTGAAATTTGAAACACGGAAATGCTATTTCCTGCATTCTGAGCATCCAAAAAATAACAACATTATTAACAATAATTTATGATTACTTAGTGGTAGAAAAAAGTAACAATTTAAATCAATTTTGTTAAACAAGGACAAAGGATAAAGCCTAAAACTTACTTTCCGTTTATGTATTTGTTAATCTTCGCTGGTTTGTTTGTATAATTTTCGGGAAAAGGGACTTTTCCTGGGGGGGCAAAATGTGATTTCGTGGGGGGGCACAAGGGGGGACTGGGGGGGCAAATGCCCCCCCAGCTTGTATGTTAAAAAAGGCCCTGAAATAGGCCTATTAATAATAAAAGAAACCTGTTTAAATTCGTTGTACAAATTATTGTATATTATTACACAGATATTACACAGAACTATACGTTATGGAAAATGTCTATAACTTTCGTTTCCCAAATGTCTATAACTTCCGTAAGATCATAATGTTGATTGCATCATTATATTTAGCACTAAGTTTAGCATATAATATTTAGCATTAAATATTGCCATCAGATTTACCATAGTTTATTATATAACGTTACATATTAATTTTATATGCATGGCTGTGGATTGAGGAATATTCAACCACTGTACCTGAACAATACAAGCAAAACGCCGACGTCTCGAGCGACGCCTCTTGTTTGGAAGGTCGCAACTAACTTCGTGACGAGGGCCTTCGCTCGAAACGTTGATCACGTTGACGTTTTGTAGGTGTTTTTCATATAATTGAATCCCTCGCAATTCTCTGATTTTTGGTGTTATTGTCATTACCTTTCGAGTTTATACATATTACAAATCTATATAGCCTAGGTTTCATGTACGGAACAGATATATTAATTGCCTTCGTAAAGAAACGACTAAATCAACTAGTGTTTAATTGCGCCACTTACATTATCCCCGAGCCAACGGCGCGGAGCGCGGGTACTAATTCCGCCCGGCTATTTACAGCTGGGGAAACGAAAGCATTAGCGAAGTCTAAAGTTCATCAATGATCGCGGGCGTGGATTAACGTGCGTGGTTCGGTGGATGGTCATCTCACTGATCTCAAAATATGGCTGTTTGCCAGGAGTGAAGAGGCAAAAAATATAAAAAATACATGTCAGAAAGCATGGAAAATTGTTTCACATAACAAATTGTAAAACTTTTTTTACCATTTTTAAACGCAAACATTTATAAGAATTGATTTAGTACGAGAAATCCTAAAGTATAGGGCAAGTTTGTTTCAATTGTTTATGCATGACTCTGTAATAATGTAAACTTTCTTCTTGATGTTCAAGTCTTTCTATGCATTGTTTGCAAACGTTTCTTAATTATTAAATTTAACCTTTAGCGTCTTGTAAAAATTAAATTTATTTCATTTCAAAGTGCGAGCTCGAGTAATAAGTTGAAGCTCGAGTTGAAGAGTTTATTTAAACATCGGCTAAAAGCAGTTAATTTCAAATCACATTTAAAAACATTTTATGTAGAGTTTCGTTTTGAATTTTACATTGAACATTGAACATTTATTTAAACACGGTAAAATCTTCAGTGTAGAATAAAATACAAAAACTATTAATAAATTTCACACATCACTATATACACACTAATTTCCTAACTAAAATGCACTGTTTTCCAAGATTGCCGTGTGGGGATCCCATTATAATGTCAAGAATTGATTAATTTCATTTTTGAAATGCCTCAATGATTTGGACGTACGTGCAGTTTGAGGAAGCGCATTCCATAAACTTGCTCCACTGTAGCAGAAACTACGCTTCATAAAGTCCGTACGTGGTTTTGGTAAATTTAGCTTCATTTCTGCATTTCTTAAGTTATAATCTGTGCTGCAAAATGTAAACATGTTTTGTAAATACTCTGGCGTTAGCTTATTGATAGTTTTAAACATTAGTATAGACTTGTGCTTTTTCCTACGTAAGGAAAGATTGTCCCAATGCAGTTTCTCTAAGAGAATGCTAGAGCTGACATCGTAGTTGGATTTCGTAATCACTCTAGCAGCTCTATTCTGCAATTTTTGCATTTTTTCACATAATGTTGCGCCAAATTCGTCCCAAATGGGACTACAGTAATCAAAGTGAGGTTGAATTATAGCGTTGTAAATTTGGATTGCTGTTTCAGTTGATATAAATGGTTTTATTCGCTTAAGAGCACCTATAGCGGAAGAAATCTTTTTACACTTCATATCAATGTGTTTAGACCAAGACAGATTTTTATCAATAATTACACCTAGTGATTTTGCCTCATCAACTTGTTTAATCACATGACCATCCAGGTCAATATTGATATTTTCGTTAGTCTGCGCATGCATACGTTGTCGAGATCCTATTATCATAAATTCTGTCTTGGCGATATTAAGGCTTAATTTTTTCGCTTCCAACCAGCTTTTCAATTTTTTTAATTCCGAATTAATAACATTTTCTAGTTCGGCGATAGTGTTGGCCGCATAACTAATGTTCGTATCATCAGCAAACATTCTCGGTACTGCTGCACTGAGACAATTAGGAAGGTCGTTAATATACACAAGGAAGAGTAATGGTCCTAAGTTACTACCCTGTGGTACACCACGTGTAACTGATGCAGATGATGACAAGCAACCTCTAACATTACATTTCTGAGATCGACCGGTCAAATAAGACTGAAACCATTCGAGACTTAATTGATCCATACCGTAAATTCGAAGCTTCCGCAGCAATATCTGATGATCAATAGTATCGAATGCTTTTTTAAGGTCGATAAATATTACTCCATTGAAGAGGCCATTGTCAATATTAACTGACCAGTTACTAGTGGCTTCAAGAAGAGCAGTAAGTGTACTATGTAACGACCTGAAACCGGACTGGCAATGCGTTAACAAGCTGTTAGAACTGAAGTAATTATAAAGTTGCTCAATGATTAATTTTTCGAAGATTTTGGCTACAGCTGAAATAACTGATATTGGTCGATAGTTATTCGGATCATTCCTTTTTCCTTTCTTAAATATTGGTGTTACTCTAGCCATTTTCCACTCGGATGGAAATATGCCAGTGTTAATTGATCTGGCAAATATATCAGTTAATGATGGTGAGATTATTGCAGCTGCTATTTTTAACAGCTTATTAAGAATGTTGTCGAGACCTGGAGCTTTTCGTTCGTTAATTTTACTCAACAGAATATAAACCATATCAACCGTAGGAGGTCTAATGGAAAATCTCTGCTCAGTTGATTCTAAATAGTCTTCAGGGTTGACGTTAGAAATGGGTATCTCTGAGGCTAGATTCTCACCAATATTTGAGAAGTGATTGTTAAAAGCTTCAGCTATATTTGCAGGTGTATTTATTGTTTTTCCGTCTACTTTAATCTCGTTAATGTTACTTGACTTATTACAATTACGCGAGCTTAGTTCGTTAATTAATTTCCATGTTTTTCTTGGATTTGTTTTAGCAGTTTCCAAATTCGTTATAAAATACTCTTGCTTTGCTTTTCTAATTTCGTTATTGGTACGATTTCGAGCAACCCTATATTCTTCCCATAAAGTTTGATCATCGGCCAATGTTGCTTTCCGCTTCAGATAATCTCGTTTATGCATATGTCGTAACAATTGGCTTGTTATCCACGGCGATTTTTTTTTGCCTGCTCTTTTGGAGCGAGATGGTGCGTGCTTGTCAATGCACTCCATTAATAAACTTTTCCACGTGTACAAAAAATCATTAGGATCAGTATTTGTGTTAACATCACACCACCGCTTTTGTTCCAAGTCTCTAAGAAAATTATCTCTATTGAAATTCTTTAAACAACGAGTTTTTATTGTGCGCGTCCCGGTACGTTCTATATTAGTTTTATAAGTCATAAACACAAGTGAATGATCGCTAATAGATATGTGGTTAACGCCGAATTTTATTATTATTGATGGTACATTTGTGAAACATAGATCAATCAAGGTTTGAGAACAATTAGTAATTCTTGTAGGTTCGTTTATTAGCTGATCCATACCATAAATATCTAGTATGGAATTCAGTTTTACAGCATTGGCCGAGATCGGTTCATGCATAAGATCTATGTTAATGTCACCTAATATACACATCTCTTGATTTTCTGAGTCCAGCTTTCCAATAATATTTTCAAAATCATCTAGATAACTAATTGGAGAGTTTGGTGGTCTATATACCATGTGCCAAGAATCAACGATTTTGAAATAAAGCCCATATAAATCAAAATATATATTATACTTACTTTATATATTTTAGAAATTAATAGTTCTGTATTTAAAAGTTATTTTCCCGCGGTTTGTACAAAAAATTTAAAAAACAATTATCGTGTTGGCATGACTAACATGACATGGCAACGCGAGCCTGCATTCAGTGTTGGCGTAATTACGAATACTTCATGTTGAAACAATGTTTGGAAAATATAGGTGAGGGGTTGTTGCATGCATGTATTTCTAGTAACTTATTAGATTCTTCTGAGCCCAATATCGTAAAATTTTAAGTCAAGACTGCAGTATTGGGCGAGACCGAAGGACGAGCCTAATATTGAAGTTGAAACTTAATATTTTGCCATTTGGGGCAAAGATGAAACCAATAGGTATTATATCGAACCAAACAGTTCTATAACAAAAATCTCTTTTTCCCCGAGCAAACGGCGCAAAGCGCCGTGCAAGGGTACTAATTCTGCCCAGCTATTTAGCCCCGGGAAAAGGAAAGCATTAGCGAAGTCTAGCGTTCATCAATGATCGCGGGCGTGAGTTACTGTGGCGGACTGTCATGAATAGCCAACACTGATTGGTCCAATTTAAAATTTGCATTATAGCGACTGCATGACTACAGCGAATTAGTAGTAAAAATTTCTTGATTTGATAATTTCTTGCAAATATATTTCGTTTACGCAAGATTTTGTAAATTTCAAAAGGTAGCAAGGAAGGTATCAAAGGCGCCGACACAAATTTTTTTTCCGTAGACAGTTGGACTCCTCATTGATAGTCGGACGCATCATTTATCCGCGTCCAGGCCTCTGCGCGTTATCGATCGATCCCTTCTTATACCCTGCGTAACCCA